AAGGAAAATGGTAACCTGTAATAGCTTTTTATCTTAGCCCTGGTCTAAACTACAAGTTTAGGTCAAATTTAGCACATTAGATCGATTCAACCCTGCACCCGACCACATGACAAAACCATTTCTGTTGACTTAAAGGGCTCTTAAAATCGATTTCTGTACTCCTCCCCGACGGGGGAATTAGCACTGAAATCGACATTGCCGGGTTGAATTTGGGGTAGTGTGGATGCAGTTTGACAGTATTGGCCTCCGGGAGCTATCCCAGAGTGCTCCACTGTGACCACTCTGGACAGTACTTTCAACTCAGATGCACTAGCCAGGTACACAGGAAAAGCCCCGGGAACTTTTGAATTTCATTTCCTGTTTGGCCAGTGTGGCGAGCTGATCAGCACAGGTGACCATGCAGTCCCAAAATCGCAAAAGAGCTCCAGCATGGACCGAACGGTAGGTACTGGATCAGATCGCTGTATGGGGAGCCAAATCCATGCTATCAGAACTCCGTTCCAAAAGACAAAATGCCAAAATATTTTCCAAAATCTCCAAGGGCATGATGGACAGAGGCTACAACAGGGACCCGCAGCAGTGCCACGTGAAAATTAAGGAGCTCAGATAAGCCTACCAAAGAGGCAAATGGCCGCTCCGAGTCAGAGCCCCAGACATGCAGCTTCTATGATGAGCTGAATGCAATTCTAGGGGCGGGCCCTATTACCACCCCACCCCTGTCGGTGGACACCTGCAAGGGGGGAGTCTTATGCAACAGACATGAGGATTTTGGGGACGAGGAAGATGAGGAGGAGGATAGCACACAGCAAGCAAGCGGAGAAACCATTCTCCCCGACAGCCGGGAACTGTTTATCACCCTGGACCCAATACCCTCCCAACCCTCCCAAGGCGGGCTCCCAGACCATGAAGCCAGAGAAGGCACTTCTGGTGAGTGTACCTTTGTAAATATAATATATAGTTGAAAAGCAAGCGTATTTAATTATTAATTTGCCCTGAAGACTTAGGATGCATTCACGGCCAGTACAGCCCCTCCTTTTAAATGGCCAACCCAACGGGTGCTTGGTATGGGAGAGGGCGCTGCTGTTTGAAACCATTCCCACACGTTATGAAGGTTGAAGATGCCGAAAGACTGTGGCTTACCATGGCTGCCTGCAAGCCGAATTCTGTTGCCTGGCCCTACATGTGTGATCTCTCACACCAACTCGGCAGGCCCTCAATATAAGAGGCAAAATGCGACCTTGTACCGAAAGCATGTGTGGTATGTAATGTTAACAGCTTGGTTCACCATGAAAGAGTCTACCCATTGTTCTCTAAAATGTGTCTTTTTAAAGACTAATCTCCCTCTTTTCCTCCCGCAGCTGCAAATGTTTCCATGCTCCCCCTATCATCTCCGTCCCAGAGGCTAGCGCAGATAAGAAGGTGTAAAAAATGCACTCGCAATGAAATGTTCTCTGAGCTCATGCAGTCCTTCCACACTGAAAGAGCTCAGCAGAATGTGTGGAGGCAAACAATGGCAGAGTACAGGAAAACAGAAAATGAATGCGAGGACAGGAGGGATGAGCAAGATGAGAGGTGGCGGCAGTGTGATGAGAGGAAGCAGGATGCAATGCTGAGGCTACTGGGGGATCAAATTGATATGCTCTGGCATATGGTTGAGGTGCAGGAAAGGCACAGACCACCGCTGCAGCCCCTGTGTAACCGCCCGCCCTCCTCCCCAAGTTCCATAGCCTCCTCACCCAGACGCCCAAGAATGTCCCAGACGTCCCCTCTGGGCACCCAACCACTCCAACCCAGAGGACTGCCCAAGCAACAGAAGGCTGGCATTCAATAAGTTTTGAAGTGCAGTGTAGCCTTGTCCTTCCCTTTTCCCCTCATCCACCATTCCACCCTGCGCTTCCCTCCTCCCCCACCCCTCCCGGGCTACCTTGGCAGTTATCCCCCTATTTGTGTAATGAATTAATAAAGAATGCATGATTTTGAAACAACAATGACTTTATTGCCTCTGCAAAGCAGTGATTGAAGGGGAGAGGGGAGGGCGGTTGACTTACAGGGAAGTAGAGTGAACTAAGGGGACGTGTTTTCATCAAGGAGAAACAAACAGAACTGTCACATCATAGCCTGGCCAGTCATGAAACTGGTTTTCAAAGCTTCTCTGATGCGCAGCGTGCCCTGCTGTGCTCTTCTAATCGCCCTGGTGTCTGGCTGTGCGTAATCAGTGGACAGGCGATTTGCCTCAACCTCCCACCCCGCCATAAATGTCTCCCCCTTTCTCTCACAGATATTGTGGAGCACACAGCAAGCAGCAATAACAATGGGAATATTGGTTTCGCTGAGGTCTAACTGAGACAATAAACTGCGCTTTTAAACGTCCAAATGCACATTCTACTAGCATTCTGCACTTGCTCAGCCTATAGTTGAACAGTTCCTTATTACTGTCCAGGATGCCTGTGCATGGCTTCATGAGCCATGGCATTAAGGGGTAGGCTGGGTCCCCAAGGATAACTGTAGGCATTTCAACATCCCCAACAGTTATTTTCTGGTCTGGGAAGTAAGTCCCTTCCAGCAGCTGTTCAAACAGATCAGAGTTCCTGAAGATACGAGCATCATGCACCTTTCCCGGCCATCCCACATTGATGTTGGTGAAACGTCCCTTGTGATCCACCAGTGCTTGCAGCACCATTGAAAAGCACCCTTTCAGTTTACGTACTGGCTGCCAAGGTGGTTCGGTCCCAAGATAGGGATATGGGTTCCGTCTATCACCTCACCACAGTTAGGGAATCCCATTGCAGCAAAGCCATCCACTATGACCTGCACATTTCCCAGTGTCACTACCCTTGATAGCAGCAGCTCAGTGATTGTGTTGGCTACTTGGATCACAGCAGCCCCCACAGTAGATTTGCCCACTCCAAATTGAAAGCTAAATGAATTTCATGGAATGACAAAGCACTTCTTTAGTCTGAAAGTGAACCCCCTGCCACATATCAAAGGCTGCTGCAAACAGTGGAGGTATGAGACCTTCTCAAAGAAATGGTTGCAAGAATCCTTTATAATGGAAAGTGTAAGGCAACCAGAATATGTATGTACACAAACACAAATGATCAAGTGTACTATTAGTTTAAAATCTGTTCTGTCCTCTATCTGTGGATGATAATTTGCATGGAAATGGATGGAATTAATTTCTGTCTCTAACCTCTGTTATCTCTATCACTCTGCATGTCACATATGTAAATATATACTTTTATCTTAAATGAGCAGTCATGTTAAATTGAAACACAAAAACTATTGGCTGATATTTAAAATTACATAAATATGTCTAGGGAGTTTGGGCAGGAGCTTCCTGTTAAAAATCAATATAAATCAATATAGTACACTTTTGATTATTATCAACTGATAATATGATAGCCATTTTAATGCAGCTATTTTAACAGCACATTGATTTCAAATGTAACAATAATGTAATTATTACATACATTCATTATGAAATATATTTGTCTTCCACTGATTCTTTTTTCTTTTTCTTCAAGTAAGACTTCAGACCTAAAAACTCTCCTGTCTGTTAGGTCAATACCTGTCTATCCCTTTATACCAAGTGTCACTGTCATTCATCAGACTTTTGAATAATTCTCAAAAGAGAACTGTTCCTATCGTGGAGTATAGAACTAAATGGAAATTCCCCAACAGAAAGTTACACTTGTACTCTTATATATTTTAGCATAGCAATTTTTTAAGGAAAAGCCATAACATGGATATTGAGAAAATGGGAAAGAATAATGGAAATAGTTTAAAAAAGAAGTCAGGCAATTATTTTACTAAAAAAAAAAATTATTTTCCCATTTTAGACCCAATAACTAGAACCATGTTTGAGCTATACTAACAATGGGCAGATTTAGTATAGTAGTTGCCATGCTTGAGCTGACTTGTAAACCCAGCCTAAATCTCCATATTTTTGAGTCTTCAGAGACCAATTTTTCCTGAGTACCTTGGAAGGATTAAAGCTTTCACTGAGAGTTCAATGACCTGACCCTTTGTATTGTTGCAGAGCTTTGCTTTTTCTTTTTTCCGGTGAAGACCAGGTCTTAACTTAGTTCCTGAGAATTGCCATGTCAGAAAATGGTTGTACTGTTTACCATCACGTCCATTTACCTAAAAATCATGGATATTTTGTTGTCAGGAAGAGCACCAAATCCATAACACTGGGGTAAATTGCAGTCTTACCTATGGTTAATTATTTCATGTTTTCTTTTATGCTTCAATTACTACAGCAGTTGTAAATACAGCTTCAGTATTTATATTGCCCTTGTGTGCCATATTGTTCTCTATTTGTTATTAAACTACAGTTGTTTTAAATATGATCAGAAAAGCACAAGATTTCCCATATCAATGAAAGCTTCTGTTTCTTTATGACAAGTAAATAAATCATGCATGATATTCACAGGGTAGGAAGAGGTTATGTGTTGTATTTTCACCCCAAGTATTCAAGATTCTTTACTGTTTAACACATCAAATAAAAAATAATTTACATCACATACAGTAATTTTAGTTAACCATAAAACCACATTCCATACAGACCAAAAGAAATGTTTTTAGGTTTCCTCCAACTAAGCTCCTGGTTAAGCCTGGATTTTTGTTTCTCCCCTGGTGTCTCCCACAAAGGAAATGCTAGTATATTACAAACAATAATAATCTAGGAAATTCCCAAAAGCGTCTCTTCAAAACATAGTAAAGAAATACCAATCCTTGCTACCAAGAGTAACTTGAAAATCATCAGAGCCAGGAATATGTTTAGTACACAGTTTGCTTGAAAATATCAAAATCCTTGTAATGCACCAGCTTCACTTCTGTAATACTATGTAAATCAGATCACAAATGGCATTTCTTCAAGGAACTAGTTCACTAAGATGCACGCACTAAGGTATTTATTTAGAGAAATATAATGTTCCCTTTGGAAATTCCAGTATTTCAGGTTTATCTAATACCCTCTTTATTTTTCTTCTACTCACCATAATGAATTTATATACAGACAGTTGTATGCAGCCGCAGTCTGTGCCTCTCCTTCTTTACTTTGCCTTGCTGTTGCTCTCTTATTAGTTGTAGCTATGCAGTCCTTTTAGATACAATGTGACAGGAATTGTGTTAGGTTTGCATTGAGCACAGATGCATCTTTTGCACTTGCGATCTGCCTCATGTGTAACACCCTCATTCCTTCCAGTCATTCATTCCAGGGGAGGAATGACACCAGGTTTTCTGAGCTATTCTTGCTTTTCTCCCAGAATACTCAGGAAAAAAAGACTTTGTGATCTCCATGCAAACTAGCAGCCTGCCTGCTGCCAATACTGCCTGCTCTTTCCAGTGATGACATTCAGCTTTGCTCTACCACTCGGGATACAGCACTGATTCCTCATTATGTAAGGCAGTCTAGGTCAAGTGTAGGAGAGAGACTGCTGGCCTGAGCAAGCCAGTGGGATTGCTCCTTCAGCTAAATGCTTCATGGGGTATGGAAGTGGATTCTGACCTTTGCTACATCTTCTTGGGTAAATGTTTTTGCATGATTTAGTGGTAAATATGCTGTTTTTCTATGCAGATGACTGTCAGCCATGCTGTGAGATGCAGAGAGAAATTGCTAGTAAAAACCAGCTCTGTCAGCATGCTTGAATAAGCAGAGTAATCTTTCTTCTAGCCATCCCAGCTTTAAGGCACTTTGCAAATAAATAAATCATAAATTAGGGTTTGCTTAACAAACATCTTCTCTATCCATGTGGGGATTATTGTTGATTTGACTGATTAAACAATGAACAAAATCCATTTGCTTGGAGGTGTTGTGGGAAAGCATTATTAGATGTGGCTATTAGCTCTGAGAGATTTACTGCAGTTCTTGGCTGTTGTATTGCCTTTGCCTCACATTACAAATATGCTTCCTTCCCAAAAGAACTGCTTCATATTTTATTTCCTTGCCTTCCTTGATTATTTTTAGTGACAACAGTTAAAGTCTGGAGGATATTCAGCTATCATTTATTGTATGACTGCATGAATTTACACAACCATAATATACTGAAGGTGAATGCTGCAGACAAAACTACAGTTAGTGACTCCTCTGCAGAATGTCAGGACAATATATGCTGGCTAAACTTGCTTGAGGTTTTTGGTGCACCAGGGGAACGCAAATAAAATTGTTGAATTTACACTCATGTTGGAAAATGAACCATAAAATACACTGAATGGATCTTTCTATAGACTGCTATGTTCCTACAGTGAGGGTTGTCAGGTGGTGAATAGAATGATCACTAATGGAATGCAGCAGTATAGGCCCTAGGAGGTAACAGCATAACATTGATACTGCAGTCTCGTGTAGGGAATTTCAATAAGGTTGGCTCACTTGTTAGGACAGTTACCATTTAATGAGGCAAATATAATAATTTGGAAGTATTCTGGTATATTAGGAGCCCTTTATTCTACAGCTCCAGTGTGTGTACAGCACCATGGACAGCTACTAAGCACTGTTCAGTAAAGTAAAGGAGTGGCACAACTGAATTAAAGAAGGTGGTAATTTGTAAAACTGAAGACTGCTTAAACTAAATATGAGTGGATGTGATCGAGCTTCAGCCTGCATGTGTATTGACTTACTAAATTCTATTAGCTTACTAGTAGGATCTTGGAAAAGAGGCTGTTTAATACATAAACTTTAAAAAATATTCATGTACATACTATAGTATTTGTCTCTGTTAATGAGCATCTGAACACATTTGAAAAAACACATAAAGAATTATAGATTTTCCTACCATAGAAGGTATGGTATTAAGCAACATTGTGCTCTAATTTAGAGGATTTTGTGGTTTAACAGTGGTATATTTGTTGATGAGAAAAATGCTGTTTGATTCTTTCTTGTATCTAAATAAGATGAAATATATACATTTCCTCCAGAACTAATTTTGATGGGGATAATCCCTTAAACACGCTCTGGTCCCATTTTGCAAAATAATTATTCCTCACCTTTTTGAAAATAATCAGTTAATAGTTTCAGTGCAAGGCTGTGCTTGAAAGTGATAATGATAACTTCCATAATCATTAAGAGCTCTGTCTCCCCAGGCACAATGCTGTCAAACAATCAAGCTATCTGTTTATCATGATCTCAGCTCACTAGTTACTATTTGTTAAATGAAAATCTTTCTTGTGATAACACATGATCAAGTTGCACTATATGGTATAATTTAGCAGAAGTACCAAGCTGACACCTTTTATTAATTACTTTGTGAAAGAAGAAGTTAGAGTAAAAAAAATACTTCTGTCTGACATAATGAAAACACCTTGTTTACTATACATAGTTCTGTTGTATAATATGTATGCAGCTGTTTCTTGAAAGCAAGCTACTAAAACAGTTGTAGTATGTATTGGTGTATGAATTTTTTAAATTTACCTTTACTGATCTGATGAAAGTTTGTTAGCTTGCTTCTGCCTACACCATTCTAAAAGAATTAGTGCATTGTGCCTGAGTACATGAAAAGGAGCCATGGGATAGAATATTGTGAATATAATTTTTTGTATTGGTTCAAAGAATGTTAACAGCCTAATCTATTTAATTACACAAAGTCATCGATTTCTATTCTTTTAAATATATACCACTGGTTTTTGAAATTGTATCATTATAAATTCTACTTTGTGCATCATGGCAGATGTTGTAGATTACAGTGCCGTTACAGTATCTCTCAGCCTGCCAAGGCTCAAATGCATGACTAAGATACAAAGGGTTAAATTCTGGGAGAGTGAGAAACTCATGTGCAGGCTGTGTGATCATATAAATATGGGGCTGAGGATTGAAATCCACAGCTCCAATCTGCAATATGTGATATGGGATTACTCCAAAATAGCTACTGCATATTACGGATTGGGGTAGGGACTAATGGCCACTGTTCCCTCTTCACGTGTTTCTGTGGCCTGATGGAATTGCTCAGTTCATGGACATAGTGGCCACAACCCTGGCCTGTCTCACACTATCCCTCCCCTTTCTACTCTTCATACCATACAGATCAGGGTCCCCCTGGGCACCTTATGTCCCAGTCCCACATAATGAAACCAGTTTTCTGCTGCATTATGTACCTTCTGAAAATTGCACTAAAAAATTCGGAGCACAGAAGAAATACTATAGTATGTGCTGAAAAACCTGAGGCACAGCTGGGGAATCATTGAAAGACTTGCCAGAAACAGACAGGAATGGAGGAGCTTCATCACTGCCCAAAACACCAAAGATGTAATGGGAACATGATGATGATCATGTGATTTACAATTATTTGGGAATAATTTATTTATCATAAACATCTGTGACAACAGTTTAATTATGATGTCAAACAATTTACAATATATGTGAGTATCATTTGTATAAAGACGAGTTTGGGTCTCAGATTGGGTCAGTCCATCACAACTGGGCAATTGAGATATATGTATTGTGTGTGCTGACAAAAATAATTCAAAATATACTTGCTAAATTAGAATTTACAAAAGTAATATTGTATTAAGTTGCTAAAGCGAAGCTGTAAACAGCTTAATTTGACTGTATCTTACCTCACATATAAATGTATATTGGTCTGTCATGTTATGATTCAAAAACTTCAGACAGGCTTGGGCTTTTAAAAATCCAAAGCCTTTGAAATTCAGAACTGTCACTTTTCATTTGTGTTTAGTTCCATGAAAACATTCAAAATGTCACAAAATCTACTGAGTGTTGCTTTGCCATCCTAGGAACCCACCTTTGGTAAATTGTAGAGACGCTCTGTCTTCAGTACAAAAATAATTACCTCTCTTTCTCAGAGGGTTTTCAGCTTTTGCACTGTAAGTGATTAGAAGCATATAATATTCCATTTTCTCTGGACCTTAGCTGGTTGGTTTTTTCCAGTTTCTGGTTATCCAGCAACGATGGTTTTCTTCCAACCGTACTTGCCTCCATAGCTTTTTTGTGACTGCAGAACTATTCATACTATCAGTTGGGTCATTTCTATCTCTAACCTATCAGGTTATCTAGATCTTCTCTCTTTCTTGCCCTGGGTTGCCTTATAGATTCCTTGCACCCCATTTTTCAAAGAAAGTGCATCTCTTGGAATAGATTTAATCCCCAGAACATCAAGTAAGCAAAAGAGAAATCAGAAGACTACAAAAATATGGGGAGATCTTTTAATGCACTGCCATCTGAAATGTATGCTATCTATATCTATATATATCTATATATCTATATCTATATCTATATATATCTATATCTGACAAAATTGTTGTTCTCAGCCCCTTCTCTAGGAAGTACACAGAGTTTTCAGTATTGCTGGTGGCATGGTTTCCTGCCATTGCTCAACATCACACCTTTTGAAAAATCATTCTAGAAATTTCCTCAGATTTATACATTAGGTTTTCCAGTTTACAGTGGAAATGATGATGTGGAGTCGGAAAGTCATAAAAGGACCCAAAACCTGGCTTTTATGGCACAGATCATAAAAAAGGGAGCTGCACTGCAGTGGCAGCCTCCAAGTGCAATATTGGCAAATTTACCCATTTATGCTCTGAGGCAATGTGTGCTCCCTTTCAACCACAGGGGACTCTTCCCAAATGCAGCATAACTAGTGTGATTCTTCTGTGCAGCAGGAGTAGGGCAGAACTGGGGGCACTTAAGCGTGAAGTGTGCATTGCTTCCATATAATGGATCATGGTTCACAGATGCTCATTCACGTAATTGCTCAGAGGTGCTTGAGGATGGGTCTGTACTAGAATCTTGCAACCTGACCTGAACCTAGTAGGTCCTGACAACGTATGTTGGGTTCAGGTCAGGTATGAAAACAATCTAACACTTTTGGGTTTGGTAGCCTCTAATCAATTCCTCCCGCCCATGGGGTTTGCGCAGCAGCAGCTCCGTACCTTGTTCCTGCCAGCCACCGCTGCCTGGCTGCCCTGTGGGGTGAGTGGGCTGATAAGTTGTAGTGCTTCTCACTCTGCGGCACACACAGTTCAGTGAGGCAGAGCTTGCTGACGGGAACAGGGCACACAGCTGCCACCATGCCAATCCCATGTGCAGGAGGCATCTGGAGATGGATTACAGGTATGGGGAGCAGGAAGCCTCCTCCAGGACAAAGTGGCAGCAGTGGCAATGACACAGGTTTGGGGGTAGCGGCCCAGGAGGCGGCAACTTGCACTCCTTCTGGTGCACGGCCCTGCACTGAGATGGGAGATCAGGCCATGGGAGTGGGGGTAGGAAATAATAGAGGCCAGGCCCGCAGCTAGACCCTTGCAACCAGACTCTCAAAAGGACCTGACTAGAAGTTTTGGGTTCTGGTCAGGTATGAAAACAAGCTGACATGCTTGTCCTTGGATCAGGTTCAGCTTGGCTGTGGTCTA